CAGGTGTTTCAGACCTGTGGGAAACACTGATATGTGTACTTACCCCACCAGTAAAGTGTGGTTTGTGTCCTGCAGGCGGCACTGCTGGGGCAGGTGGGCCGGTGGGGTGGTAGACGGTGACCGTGGCTCCATTGTATGAAGTGCTGGAGCTAGTGGCAGCTTTTACTACCCCGTTAGTGATTAGTTCTTTTATCCTGTTTACTGCCCCTACAGAGGTCAACACACAACAGACTCCAGCTCTACACATCTGTATAGAAGCACAGAGGCAGCACACTGTTTTGTAGCTAAGCAGGAAAACAGCACTTACTGTCGACAAGTTCTCTAGTTTGCCCTTGTACATGTAGATAAAGAGGGCGATCACTATAGAAACAGAGAAAAATCAGTTGCAGGTGATGCTGAAGCCTGTGCAGAATTAACAATGTCACCAAATATTAACACTGCTTAAATGAAGACTTTATGTCTGTATCTACAAATATTAAAAAAAAACATAAGCTTTCCATACTTCATCACATGACTACATATCTGCACCCTCTCTGTCAGCAACTCAGCCCTTGATTCCTTGTTCATTTTACCAAAAACTAGATGACGTTCACAAAGTCAGAAGTACCTGGGCAATGCTTTGGCCTTTTCTTCTGCTGTCATGTAGCGCCCCCTAGTGGACACAGCAGCACCACTCACTCTGCTGATCTGCGCAAAGAAAGATGTGACAAAAACCTTTTACGCTTGACAACAGAATCAGGCACAGCCCCAGCACAAAATTAAGTCACCAGTTCACAAGTAATAGTAATATTATGACATAATATTATGACCGAAAAATGGCAGAATAATTCTTCACAGATTATTTATCTACAAGTTAAAATGAACTCCCAAATCATGCATCACCAAATCATTTTTCTATCACAGTATGAAAATATGGGACTTAAGTCATCAAATCTATAACAATCAATGAGTGACCCTAACCTCATCCTGAGTTTGTCCACGGGTCAGAAGGTTCCGACAGGTAAGTGGTACATCATTTATCTCCACCTCTGCCACCACTAGATCGTCCTTTGCTTTTACTACTGGCGCAGGCTTTCCACCAGTACCCGTGGTCTACAGCAGGAGAGAGTTTATTCAGCTTGCAGCTTCTTTGACAAAATCCTGCAAACGTTCCAGCACAGATGACTTGAATCAAAACTGACCTTCTCAACTGGCCCAGGAGCACCAATCTGTGAGGGCTTCAGCTTGCCCTTGGCCACCAGCATGGCGTTGATTTTGGCAGCCACTGCAGCAGCAGCATCCAGGGCACCTGTGGGGGCTGCATCCGCCTCGCCCCCTGAGCCTGGACCTGGCTGGTCCCATTTACTCCGCCGCCTAACAGCAGGAGATCAGAAAAGCTCAACTACAATAGGTCTTATCTCTTAATTACATATTTGCACGTTACAGCAACCACAATCAATATGAACTGCTGATCTGGTTCAGAATTCAGGAGTTTGGCCTCCATATAATTTGAAATAATGCATATTCTCACACAGTAAAAAGCAGAGAATGACAGACAATTATTACTGACCCTTGCTTGGCTTCACAACCCGTCTATGAAGGTTGAAATCAAAAGAACAAACCGTATATGAAGCCTAAAGATTTCCTCTAAACTCACTTGATAAACAGACCAGCTGTGTTGTTTTACGTAACGTTTGTATCTATAAATAACAATTTTTGTCAGTTCGAAATTATTACCCAACATCAAATAAAGGTAGCTAAAAACAGCACAAGCAGACCATTTGGAGACCCGTATTAAACTACGACAGTAAAAAATATCTCACTATTAAACTATTAACCTAGAAAACTATTAGCCGAAAGCTCTGATACGACCGAACACTGTTAGCCACATTAGCTTTATTAGCTAACATTAGCTGACTTACATTAGCTGAGGGTGTGTATGGCTCCTCGTTGAGTTATATGGATATTTATTTGGATATTTACAGATCTTCTGAGTAAACCACGTTACTCATAAAATACTGCTTTGATACTGTAACAATGTTGAGCCTGACCGATGCTAATGCTAATGCTAAGCTACTCCGCGCTCCGATCAACTTTAAATCCGCTTTTACCATCAACCTGTACTTTTCTGTTTACAGTGGTTCGTTTTCTGTGTCTTACCCGCCGCTCTGACTCGTATTAAATGACATCAACGAGATTAATCCTTTAATTTTAATGATTTTCTCTTCGGGCTAAAATCACCAACACGGCACAACACACAGCGCTGACGCATTTCCGCTTACACTACCGATAACGTCAACACCGGCTTTACAGTCAGTTTCTTTCATACAAAATTTTCACAGATAAAATTATAAAATATAACTGCATTTAACTGGTCAATTATTAATGTGACATAGGCCGGTGTGCTAAAGTAAAACAGTTTAGTTTTCTCGGGTTCAGTTTGTCTCCTGCACGATTTATTTACTTAAAGGACCCAGAAACCTCATCAGCGCTGACGGCTCTCTGTTAAAGGGACGCTCCGGCCAAAACGGAAAATTTACCATCAATGCATACACGTCTACTCATCTTCTACAGTGGTGCCACGGTCGTCTCAGGTAGTCTCTAGAACAGTGATTTTCAGCCTGTAGACCACAGTGGTGATAGGGGGCTGCAGTAGCTTTTTAACCGCAATTATTTATTTATTTATTTATTTAGACATATGTAGAAATAACCAAATGTTATTTTAAATACGACAAATTATTTGCAAAAACAGGTCAACATACTGTGGCGCCCTGCCACTGGCTCAGGCTGCCGTGGGAGGCTCGCGGTAGGATTAATGTTGGCTTAATGAGGTGCTGTTGGTGCGCTGCTGCCGGAGGTGCTGGGACGGAACATGCAGCTCTCTGCGCTGCCATCATAGCTGAGGCAAGGAGTCCCGCCGTAGCTGGGGAGGAGGACGCAGGGCTCAGTCTCTCCACTGCCGGGCTTGTTGGGATGTGGGGTAGCAGTGTCAGTGTTAGTGTTTGGGTGTGAATATGTGTGGTTAGAGGTGACCTGCCTGCTTCCCAGCAAACTCAGTGCAGAAAATAAGTGCAGTTCTCCTGCATCTTATTTTACACCAGTGCCACAATATTTCTGCTTACTATGTTTACATTTTCAGTGCAGTCAAAGTATAACGTTTCTCTTTTTGTTCATATTAAATCCATAAAATAATTTCGGATAAATGGTTACAAACAGGATATAAAAAAAAAGATCCTCTGGCTGGACCGCATACAAGTGAAACAGCCACCGTATCTCAGACTGAGAAAAGCAAGAAAACCCAGTATAAACCGAAATGAAGAAAAATACAGCAGTGAGCACCAAGCCGTAATGTGCCACGACAAAAACAAACAAATGGGCAGATTGTTTTCAGTTGACAAAGGTCTCCTTTAATCCTCACAAAACGGGCAAACTGACATTGAGTGGGCCTCTTTCCATTCTGGAAAAGTAAAAGGAGAGTTTGGTCATTTAGCAGCTGGAGCTTTATGAGAGTTTTCACATACAGCTCGGATGTTTGGAACTCAGTTTTAGCTGTGAATCCTGTTAGTGGCGCGTTTGGTGTGCAAGATCAGTAATACAAGTGATCCAATTAATTTACTGTCGTCTGAAACTATTGCATGAATAAACAGTGTTGGGTGTCTATAGGGCTTTAGGCTTCAAATACCTGAAAACAGAAAATGAGTACCTACCACTCTCTGCTGTGCTGTAAGCTCAGAGGCTTTTTCAAAATAAAGCTTTAGGCCAAACAAATTAAGCTGACAATTGCGTGCTAAATAAATAGGCACCTAAACCTATTGAACTGAGCCCTTCTCCTTTCACAGCTTTTATTTCTTTAGCATGTCATGGTAGCTGCCAAGCAACAGTAGCTAACTGATTGGGTAAGTTAGAAAATGTTCTGGTATTTTTTTTAGTGTTTATTGTGTTGCATTATTTTGTAAAACAAGCAAAATTGACAGGCCACATTGATTATTTCTTATTTTTGTTTGCACTTTAAATGATCTGGTTGGTAAAATCTTGTGGGCCGCAGAAGCTTTTGTGGTCTGTTGGTCTGCTGTGTGGGTAGCAAGTTAGAAAAGGTTGCAAACTTCTGTTTTAGAGAGACATTTTTCAGTTTCAAGACTGGGAAAACCCCTCCTGATACACCTTGAAGGTGGGAGGAACTTTTGAAAAAACTGCTTTGAGTCAGATTTTAGGCTGTTTTGATTTTTTTTGTTAGGTGGTGAATGCAGAAGTCATGATTATAGTGGAGGAAACAGGTTACTCAAATGACTCATCAAATGAAGAGGATAGGAAGTTAAAAGCCAGAGTTAGCAGGTTAGCTAGATGCCTGTACTTCAATTTGGCCTCTTTTCTCTCATCGAAATGGCAAAAAGTTGTCTCTGTTAGTCATTATGTGCTGAAAAAAGATAGAAAAGCTGTTTCCTTTACGATTTTGTTTGAAGTGGTAAGAGTTACACTAATGCTAACTCAGCTGTATTTATTAGCCTGTAGCTCAGTGGACTGGATGAGCATTGCAAGGATTTCAAGTGGTTGTATGATGTATTTGCATACTGCTTGCTGGCTATTTTAAACAAACACTGATGAATGAAATCATTAATGCTGCACTACAGAACACTGCACTGCACAGCAAACAATGTATTATTGTATTTAGGACGGAATGCCCTTTAAATATTAAAATGGCAACAGACTCTCTGTAGAGGCTTTAGCACAAATACAATACATTACATAGACCGTGAGTAAGTCACACAGAACACTTAATTTAAATAATTTTATTAAAGCACAAAAGGCTACAATCATGAAAAAATGTGAAATTTTGAATGAATAATTTTAGTAAACTACAGCATTAATCAGTACTGTACATCCATAAATATACTTAAACATACTGTACAACCATAAATAAGCACTGAAAATAAAGAGGCGTCCTTCTGAAAGGGTTAATAACGCCTACACACTCTTTATATATGACATCTACACACATCTACAAGCTCTCTTCAAAGCAGCCTCTAAATGACCTCTCTCCTCTTCTCGGCCTCTTTGGGATTTGTTGTCTTGAACTCAGAGATGCGTCGCTCCATCACTGGCCGGAAGTGCCGGATCAAACCCTACATGGCATACAGATGCATTAGAGTATGAGTTTATGATTTATGAGTAAACTTATTCCCTTTATCCTGTGGGTTCCAGCACTTCTTTAGGAAGACAGCTCTAGTTATAAGTGCATCCAAGTCCAACGCTGCTCCTAAAAATCTGTCCTCCTATAGAGTTTAGTTCCAATGAGTTCTATTGGTGTTTGTGATCAAGAACTGATCATCCAACATCAGGATCTGACCTCACTAATGCTCTTGTGGCTGAATGCAATCGAATCCTCACAGCAGTTCCAACATCTAGTGTAAAAGGGGGGACAAACTGTTAATAGTAATTAATTAAATTGATTTCAGAAGAAATGTTGGATGAGCAGGTCCTAGTTTATCTATGCCTAGACTAAAAAATTATAATGGTGATTTACTATTGGAACTGCAACTTAGTCTTAAAAAGACTGTGCAAAAGTCAGAGACCACCCTTATTTTATTTAATTTCCAGTCAAAACAACATTAATTGCAGGTTATTCATTTTTAGGAGATATTTATGAGGAGATTAGACATAATACACTTGGATAACAAAGCAGAAAGTCGAAGGAAAATAAGTGAAGAACTTTCTAAAACTGTAGTCTTATATGTGGAGAAAACTCTAACTTCAGCCAGGCAAGACCTGGTAGACCATCAAAACTGTCACCATCAGAAAAACAGTACTTCAGTATTCAACAGTTTTCAAGGGATGTGAAAGGACATGTAGCTGCCTAGAAACTGTTATCGAGACAAGGAGCATCAGACAAAAAAGAAGTTTGCAAATAAAACAAAGAAGCTGCTGGTGTTCTCAGAACAATGGAGTGACCACCCCAGAGTCCAGACCTCAGCATCACTAAATGTGTTTTTGGAATTACTTGGATCATCATAAGCAATAAGTGCAACCAACTTTTAAGACTGAACTTTGGAAGTGTGGAAAACACCTCTCTGCAGATTTCTGTGAAAAACTGAAAGCAAGTCTCCCAAAAAAATGAAGGCTGTGATAAAGGTAATGTGTGGACACTAAATGGTGAAAAACTTGATGTTATATTTAGTACTTGAGGCTTCTGTGTAATTTTCTTTTAAAATTGAAAGAAGTGTCATTACTGTATCAGGAATGAGGTGTGTGTGCAAATCACCCTGTAAAACCTGAAATAATAATTTAGTCAGAGGCATCGGGTCAGATCTTAGAATCATCAGATTCATCAGCTTGGGGAAGGTATCTGAAGCACAACCGACATTACAAAATGTTCTAATGCAATTACATCTTTCCACCAGAGAGGTCTCCAAATCCCCAAATATTACATAGTGTAGCTTTAAAAATGGTTTCTTTTTTTTCCTGACATTGAAAAATAAATAACAAGCACTTGATGGACTGATAATTAATTAAATGAAAGGTGGTCTCTGACTTTTGCACAGTACTGAATGTTGGCACCAAACCCTGCAGAAGCAGAAATAGAGGCTGCTGAAGAACTCTGTCTGGAACATAGGATCTACAGACCCAAGTCACTTCCTCTGTACACCTGTTAGGCAGGTAAAGATTACTCACTTGAACAGGCCAGGCAGCTCCATCACCCAGCGCACAGATGGTGTGACCCTCTATCTGTTTGCTAAGCTCCCAGATCATGTCTATCTCAGAGGAGCGAGCGTCTCCTTTCACAAAGCGCCACATCATCGAGTTCATCCAGTCCACCCCTGCAGGGCAGAGAGAAACAGGTACCATTTAAGGCATAAGCACTTGTCCCTCCACAGCACACATAATACACTCAGACGGTCCCCATGCAATGCTCTCTTCATGGCTTTTCTTGTATTATGTAATGGATTCTTGTGAGCTCTAGGACAGTGTTTTTCAACCTGTTGGTACTGCTAGGGGGCTGTTGGACACCAGTTGCTGCTGTTTTTTTTTAATCACAAATATTTATTACAATATTACAAACATTTTACCAAACATAATTATAAATTTGACATATCGTTGCTGTGACAATTATTTGCAAAAATAAACCTTTAGTTTGAGCTTCAGGTCGAGCTTGTTGATTGATCCGGTAAAAATGCATGACTGAAGTAAGTGATATAGCTAGCTAGTTATGTTTATATTTTCAGTGCAAGTCAATGTAAAATGTTTCTCTTTTTGATCACATGGAATTCATCCATTATGGATAAAAGACTTAAAACAGAACATTTTTAGATTTCTTTATTACATTGTGTGACTATGCAGTAAAGTGAAATTTGATAGACTACATTGATGTGTGTTGCTAACGGAAGCTTTTGTGGTTGGCTGTGTAGACCATGAGTTGCAAAAGTCTGGGAACCCTGCTTTAGGACTATTGAATGTTGGAAGACAATTAAACAGATCACTTCCCTTATCTGGGTTGAGTCAGTTTACTGACATTATGGCACAAGTTGATGCAAAAAAATTTCTATAAATAATCTTGACACATAATGCTGCTGTCTGGGTTATAAACAGCACTGTGATTTACTGACACCATTTTACTTCATCAGAAGCCAATGTTGGAAGAATCTTTTCAAATTTACTTAAACAAAAGTCTTTCTGCATTTTAACTTGTGCAGGCTTGGTGATACCAGAACAGCAAAGTTCAGCAGAAAGTCACAGAAGGTAAAGACAAGAACAGAAATCATGCAACAATTTTCAAAGCACATGTTGCACTTCCTCACCCTCTCTGCAGGGGGTGCACTGGCCACAGCTCTCATGTTTGTAAAACTCCACCAGTCGAGCAATAGCTCTGATTACATCAGTCTGAAGCAGAAACAAAATAGACTGAGAATGCATGCAGAGCTCCTGAAAATGAATTAAGTCAAATTTGAAAACAATGCAAACCAATAAACTCACTGATTTGTCCATGACGATGACTGCAGCAGTGCCCAGAGCGGTCTCAGCCCTGACAAGGTCATCAAAGTCCATCATCACATCATCACAGACAGAGCGAGGGATGATGGGAGTGGATGAGCCACCAGGAATCACACCCAGCAGGTTATCCCAGCCACCCCTCACACCACCTGAACCAAGCACAGGCAAGAAACCGCTAAGAATCAATGTCTGATACATTATTCACAGACAAATTGAAAAATATATTTTCTTTGGTCCAGTATATTATAACCAGTAATTACAAAGGCTAACATAGTGCCCTGTTTTTGCCCACACACCATCCATGTATAGCCACTAATGGTAGGCATTTCCATTTTGTTCTAAAATTTGTACATAAAAGATTCAGCCTCCTCACTGAAATGAATAGCATAGTGGGTAACACCACCTCCTCATATATGGAAGTGCTAATGTTTAACTCTCCATCAAGACAGGCTTGCACTGCTATATCAGTAAATCCATGGGCAAAACTCCTGCTGTTACATTGGTTTCTCTGGAAATGGGCATCTGCCAAATAAAAAGATATTCACAACATTTGTCATGTCTGTCCACATTCAGAGTCTTATGCTCACCGTTCTTCATATATGGATTATTCTGTACACTTGTTTTAAAATGCAAAATTAATTGTTTGGATACAACAAGTGTTAGTTATCAGATATTGTATTGTTAGAAATTTCAAATTAGTGCATCCCTCACTCCTACCATCTACCAACAAGGGCAGTCTGGTCACTGGCCATTAAAGTTTGGTCAGGGATGCTTTAGAACGTCTGAGAAATCTCTGCTTTGTCTGAGGGAAGTCTCAGATGTCTGACCTGCGTGTCTCTCGAGGAGCTCTCTCAAAGAGATGGACATCTCCTCCTCCACTGAGCATGGTGTGTTTACATGCCCAGAGATATTGAACAGCTTCGTTCCTGAGTTTCTCTCACGGCCAAAACTGGCAAACCATGCGCCTCCTCGACGACATATGGCTGGCGCTACAGCAACCGTCTCAACGTTAGCAACTGTTGTTGGACACCCAAACACACCTTGAAAGAGAAAAGAGCAGAAAGTTTGACTTTTTATAACAAATAAATACCTTGCATTACTAGTTGGGCTGCATATTGCCTGACCAATGTAAGAAAAGTGTTTGTGTTGTTCGTGTTGATTAGCCAAAAGTTTGGCTCTTTGGTTTTGCACTGGAGCTATGAAGCTAATGTAGCTAACAGGCAATTAAGCTTATGTACACCCATAAAGCATTGTGCAAACGACATGCCTAAATCATCACACAATTGCCTCAAACTGTGCAGTTAAGCAATCTAAAATCAAGACTGGATGCATTTGGGTAAGAGGAAAATAGTGTGAAGTAGCCTTATTGCAAAGCTATTTCTTTAATAGAAAATGCAAAAAAGAGCTTCAGAATCTAAAGTTTGAAATGATAATAAAGAGGAGGAAACAGCACCTATGTCAGCAGGGAATGGTGGCTTTAGACGTGGTTTGCCCTGCTTGCCTTCGATGGACTCAATGAGAGCCGTTTCCTCTCCACAGATGTACGCTCCTGCCCCCCGCATTACAAACACATCGAAGTCGTATCCAGAGCCACAAGCATTCTTCCCGATCAGCCCTGCAGCGTACGCTTCCTTAACTGCCACCTAAGAGAGGAAACATGAAGGTGAGGTCCATCCATCACGTGTCAGAATATAAATGGAATAAATGAAAAGAGGCTTTCTTTATTAACTTTATGAATAATCACATAAAAGAGCACAATAACACATTAGCAGCCTCCACTCACAGCGCTTTCTATACAGTTAATTTAATCTCCCAATTTCTAGAACACTCTGCTTTGTGCATCTGTACAGATGGTTCCTCTGTTTATACACAAGATACCAAGAGTACATGATGGAGTCCCTCAGGGCTATAATGATTTGCTGTGATGGACGCTACACCTGCAGGTTGGAGGACTCATTGTAAAACTCTCCTCGAATATAGATGTAGGCAGCGTGCGCTCCCATCGCTCTGCCCGCCACCACACAGCCCTCCACCAGCTTATGAGGGTCATGACGCATGATTTCTCGATCTTTACAGGTACCTGGCTCACCTTCATCTGCGTTTACCACCAGGTACTTAGGCCTGTAGTGAGGGAAAGAGAACAGGGGCGAAGGGAGAGAACATGATGTTATTGATGTTACAATAGGGCTATTACAGTATGACAGGTGTTACAAAAAGGCAGGTGTAAGCTTATCACAGGCCTTACACTGATGCAGGTGTTACAGTAGGTCCAGTGTTACAGTAAGATAGGTGTCAGGCTGTCGCAGGTGTTACAATAAGACAGGTGTTCCAGTAAGGCAGGTATTAAGCTATCCCATGTGTTACAATAAGCCAGTAAGACGTGTGTTACAGTAGCATAGGGGTTACAGTAATACAGTTGTAAAGCAATCACAGGTGTGTAAGCCAAGTATAATAGTAGGACAGAGGTTGTAGTAAGGCAGGTGTAAGACTGTCACAGATGTTACAGTAAGGCTGGTGTTATAGTAAGGCAGTTGTAAGGCTATTGCAGGTGTTCCAGTAAGACAGGTGTTACAATAAAACAGGTGCTTCAGTAAGACAGGTGTAAGGCCATCACCGGTGTTACAGTAAGGCAGGTATACAGCTATCACAGGTGTTGCAGTAAGGCAGTTGTAAGGCAATGACAGGTCTTACAGTAAGGCAGGTGTAAGGCTTGACAGATGTTACAGTGAAACAGGTGTAATGCCATAACAGGTGTTACAGTAAGACAGATGCAAGGTTATCACAGGCGTTAAAGCAAGACAGGTGCTATAGTAAGGCAGAGGTTACAGTAAAGCAGGTGTTACAACAAGACAGGTGTACATGTTTTTCAGTAAGAGGTCGACCTGCCGTCACTTGGTTTGTTCATGAAGCTCCACTTCATCCCGGTGGGGAAGCCAGCTCCCCCTCTCCCCCTCAGCCCTGAAACTTTCACTTCATTTAAGATCCACTCAGGTCCCTTTAGCAAGATTTCTTTGGTCTTATACCAGTCTCCTCTCTTCAGCGCCCCCTTCAGTCTGCAAGAGGAATACTCAGTATTAACAGTCTGCTTTTAAGGAGCACTTTAAGTAAACCAGGTGTGACAAACGCAGTGACTGACTGTATTTCTCTGAATGCATCAATGTACATACCTCCAGTCATGGCGACCATACAGGTTAGTGAAAATTCTGTCTTGGTCACTCAGGGGTCCAAATGTAATTTTCTTTGGTTTTTCCTGGTAACACACACATACAGACACAGTCAGTGAAGGTAAGGGAACCAACTAAACGTATCTGCATTTTATTTATTTAATCTCAAAAGTGTTTGCCAAATGTTTGAGGTTAGTTCTGTCTCTGCCAGCTGGAAATGTCTGGATGTGTGAAAATGGTCAGTGGAAATGGTCAGTGGAAGCAAGGTGCCACCTGTTGCTTGGCAGCAGTGGTCAGGCCTCGTCCTGCAGGTGTGGAGTTGTACAGAATCACCCCTGCAGACCGCCCCCCTGTCCAGGTGAATGACCGTCCCAGCGACAGCATCACTGTGAAACCAGTACAGGGTAAATAACAAACAATGGCCTAAACCTTTAAACATCTTCTGACCCAAAGCCTTTGAATCACAGTTGAAGGTGTATTAGCTTCTAACTGGTTGTACACAGTAACAGTGCATAGATCACATTCACTCATGGAGGCCTCTGCAAAAAATGCATCCTCTAAGATTTCTTTGGTCTTGTAATAAAAATGACAGAATAATAAAAATGTTATAGAAATACATTTTGAGCCTTTGATGAATTCCTTCACAAAAACATTACTTGCTGCTTCCAGCCTCCAAAAATGATTTAATATGAAGAGAGTTACATTACGTGGCCTTCGGCTAGATTTGATACTGACCACATGAAGCATATCAATCTAACAGTCAATCAATCATTCACTCAAACAACAGTGGTCACTTTAGGGACCTCAGCCGGCAGTATTTATGCTGCTAGCACTGAAATAAAAGAGCAACAGACATTTTAACTTCAGTCCAGTGGGTTTAATACAAACTGTATGGAGATGGACTGTTAAACTCATGAATTCTTGAACTGATCTGAAACACCAAAGAAAAGTCATTTAGTCATTTATCATTAGTAATGCTTTTATCTAAGACATCCAGTTTCAGATGACTGCCTACCACCAGCACTTAAAACAGTTACTGTGTCCTTTTTCACATAATATCACATAATTTGTGTTTGCATTAATAACATATGTAAACAGATTGCTTTAAAATTTAGATTTTTATTGCTTTTCAAATAATAAGTTAACAGAATGATTACTGTTCTGTTAACTATTCCATATTCAATAAACACCTTTATGGTGTTTTAAGAATTTTAAGGCAGCCAGGTTACTTTTCTAAGTTAAAGCATCAAATATTTTTGGACAGCTAAAATATTACTCTACTTCCTCATAATGAGGCCAAATCAAAGGGTTGTACATGAAATCTGTTCCTGTAGAGGTTATTATCAGACTCTACCTAAATCATTTCCTCATGGGATTCAGGGGATTTAGGTCTTATTTGAGCCTGGATTTGGGTTCTAAGTGTCAAATGCCCCCAAAAGAAGAGCAGCTTCCCTCTTTTTATTCGCTTCCATAATGAGGAGGTGAAAGTCAAGAAGAAGGTCAATTGGCCCTCCTCATAGTCAGAGTGCATCTCTGATGTGAGCAGAAATATGAAGAGACGTATCGAGTGCTGCTTAGTGCTGCTTAGGAAAATCCCTCTAATCCCTATTTAGCTCCCTGGTTGAGGAAAAAAAAAATGATGGTGGCATAAAATATGAGGTAATGTTACTCACTTGGCAGACGTATTCAACCTTGATCACTTCTTCTACCTGATCCAGAAAGTCAGAAACATCCGGCTACGGCTGAGCATTCCAGACAGCCGGAAACCAGTGCCTGGACCAGCAGTGTGGCATGAGTTGGATAGGTAGGGCTCAGCTGTGACGTGGCATTAATACAGCAGCAGGTGTACAGCCACCTGGGTCATTAACATTCAGACAGTCCGAGCACACAGGACACAGACAGACTGTATAACTGGGAATATGTTACATATATCGGTATTAAAACAAAGTCACAAATCACAAGAAGGAAGATTTGAAGGGTCTGTGTCCTGGAAAACCATTTTCCTCATTTTTTGAAATGAAAAATTCAGTCTACATCCCATTCAGGCTAGGAGTGTTATAGACTACTTTCTGAATGAGGCATAATACAGGACAGCCAGTCAGAACAGAGCTCATTAACATATATCAGTCTTAAAGGCCCAGCATCAAAAACAGTCCCTTAACCCTTGACTGGTGTTCATGTTTTTGTTACTCAGTGGGTCTGGTGGACCACCACAATATTGTTTTACATCAATACAGCCATAATAATTTATGTAAAAATACCAGATGTTTAAAATATCACAACTGATCAGCGTAGGGTTCTCCTTTAGCAGCTGTAGCCAGTCAGCAACCTGTCCATGTTGTCCACCTTCACACACACATATACAAACACATACACATACAGACACAAACGCACACTAACAGCAGGCCATGTAGGAGAACAGAATGAAGGGACCCAGCACCTCCACACTTTTATTCCCTGTGGGTTCACCCCAACACCACATGTGTAATATAAGTGGGTGTACAGTGTGGTCATTGAAAATATGTTATTTTATATTCTTCACAGGAAATGAGCAAAGGCCAAGGAATCTGAAGTTAAAATAATAATAAAATACATCATTTTTTCTTTTGGCAAACAGGCCCTTTGAATAAAAAAGCTTCAGAAAGCTGCAAGGGCAGGGAAAACACATGAGCGCATCCCACATCTTGAAGTGATATGGCCATTTTTTCTTATTTGATTGTTTTTCTCTGAGGTATATTTGTTCCCCCAAAACAAAAAGGTAATTCATTCATAGATGACGATTTTTCGACCTCTCCAGTCTGAAACACTCCTTATAACCTTAATGTGAATGGGCGGGTCTGAACTGCTGTAGACCGATTAGGTGCATATATGTAAATGAGTTGGTTTTCGCGACATCACAAAAATGTCAAAATCAAAACAGGCTGCTTTTGCAGTTAAGATTAATATGTGGATTATATGGACTGAGGAGTGAGTGGTATGTTTTGAAACTTTAACAGTGTTTTCATACTACTACTACTAGAAATAATGTTTCTGTTTCAGAAATATCACTAAAAACAATATTATCCCCAAATTCATAGAACATCATCTACTGTCACTAAACGTAGGATTCGACTTTTAACAAAATAAACAAAATTCCTGAATGATTGTGCTTTGTAATGCAGGAGTTTATTATACTAATCCATATAAAATTTACTACACTGAGTCCAAATGTTCAGATTACTGGACACTAAAGTTTATCTCAAAATTTGTGTATGTACAAATCAACATCTACCATTTCCTTTTTTGCCTTTCAAAAGACAAACGTTTTAGAAGAACATTATTACAAAAACATTCAGAAACAGTGTTTCACTTGGTTTTGCAGGTGGTGAGCGTCTAACATGCCAGCTGCCATATTTGTTTTTGTTTATGACAAGATAAAAAAAAGAAAATGCTCTATTAATTGATCAACCAACAGAAAGACTGAGTTCTGTAGAAACACATAAAAGTTAGTGTGGTGATGTTCCTGCTTCTATAGAGTCTACTATACTAGACGCTTGAAATGAGGGGGCTTTATACACCAATCGGCCACTTCATTAAGTTCAGCTCCTTCTTTCTACTGTGTCCATTTTATCAGCTCCACTTACTATATAGGTGCACTTTGTAGTTCTACAATTACAGACTGTAGTCCATCTGTTTCTCTGCATACTTTGTTAGCCCCCTTTACCCTGTTCTTCAATGGTCAGAGCCCCAACAGGACCCCCACAGAGCAGGTATTATTTGGGTGTTGGAACATTCTCAGCACTGCAGTGATACTGATGGGGTGGTGGTGTGTTAGTATGTGTTGCGCCAGAGCGAGTGAATCAGGCAGTGGATCAGTTGGGTTACAGTGTGTAATTGTAGAACTACAAAGTGCACCTGTATGGTAAGTGGAGCTGACAAAATGGACACAAGAAGGCATAATTAATGAAATGGCCAGTTGGTGTATATTATATATATGTCCTATCTGTCCTATATATACGCATATTATGTATGTATGTATATATATATATATATATATATATATATACCATACACACACACACATTTATATATATATATATATACATACACACATATATACACACACACACATATATACACTGTTGGGTGCCTCCAAAGACCATGACCTGCTCATGCTCAAAGTGGTCACATTCAAAAACCTCCAAATCTGACTTATTGTCTTCTGTTTCAGCGATAGAGTAAAAGCTTCATCCTAAACAATCCCTCTAAAGTGCCATGCAGCTCCTTCAGATTTATGAAAATGTAAAATGCTCAAAGTAAAGAGCAGAAACAGAATGTAAAAGCACCTTTACTTCAGGAACTTTTTCAGATTTGAATAACATATTATTTAGACTGACTGTGTCAGCTGTGGTCTAAAACAAACATGCACAAGGACTCAGAAAACTGATTCTGACTGACATATTTTTTCTTTATTTACTCATCTTTACAACAGGAGAAATAAACGCCAGGCAAAAATAATCATTTACTATCAGTGAAAAAAATTCCTGTTAACACAGGAAACGTCCCTGATGCAGAGGCCCTCCAGCCCCAGACCTTCACCCTATCCAGAGTGCGCACACACACACGCAAATATTAACACCCCTATCTGTGTTAAAATCTATGAGACAGAAACATTAATGTTGACTGTAAGAATATTGACCTGTAATTTATTGCATAGTTCACATACTGGACCAAATCAACTTTTAATATCTGTAATCAACAATCAGTAAAGGATTAAAGTAAATGAAAACTCAAGGCTGCTGTGGAACTGTACAAGGGGTGTTAATATTTTATTTTATTTTTTTCACAAACACATAATGATCCCTCCATATACTTGCATAATCATTTGCATAATCATTTTAGTGCATTGCTCATTATTTCCTGAGAATAGTTGCCAAAAAAAACACAAGGCAGCTTGACCCTTTATAAAGCAAAGATTAAATCATTTCTATCTTTAGATAGAAGTTCTACATCTATGCGGCAGAAACACTTCAGG